GCATTTTGCAGGCTAGTCGCGCATAGGGCAAGTGCGCAAGGGACTTAGATTAGCAAAACAAAAAGCTAAGCAACATAAGTAGAGCAGAAAAAGGATTAATAAATTAACATAATTAATATAATTAATTAATTATCCTATACATTATATCTAAACCTATTATTTATCTTAGGAAGCCTAGAAATAGTGCTTTAATTTAACAATTAAGAGTCTTAGTGCCTCTATTAATACAAAATGGCCACCCAGCCTCCTTGAGACGCGACAGTCGTCCTTCAAGACCACACTGACTACAGAGCCTGGATGATGCAGCTGCAATTGAGATGTGTAGCGCACAGCATCTGGCCGCAAGTGGACCTTAAGTTAACTATCTAAATAATCTCTAAACTAAGAGCTCTAGAGATGCTGCTAATAGCTAAGTTTTTACTAGCCTCTAATATTAAAACGCCTACGCACCTAAATAAGCTATTAATAAGTAGTGTTAGAGCCTTTAAAGAAGCTATTAAATACTACAAGATTAAAGCTAATAAGTATAAAAGTAATAGACATAATTATAAAAAAGAGTAATTAAGCTTTTAATAAATTATTGTCTTTATTTAGTTAATAGTTAGCCTGCATCTGCAGTGTACATGCTGTTCCCTAGATTAACTACTTAGACAGTAGATTACAAACCTTAAAGCTACAGTAGGCGTTAACAACTAATTTAAACAAGAATGTGTGCATAACTAATATAATGCATCTCTAAAGCTGCTAAGAAACGCGAGCATATAGGACCTATAGCTAGCAGAGTATGACTACGCTGCTATAGAAGCGGAGACATAAAATGTTCTAAAAACAACATAGTTTAATGCTATAGCAAAGAACTTTTTAACTACTATAAATAAAGTTGCCTCTTATTAGTCTATAACTTTTTAAAAAAGCAGACAGTTCACACTAAACATAAATTAGAAAGAAATAATAAAGCGCTTTTAAAAACATATAATGTTAAATTATCTAATACATATAAAAAAGCATAAAGCTGCCTTTATAATAAATAACTTATTATACTTTACTAAAAGTAAAAAGACTACCTAAGGCATAAATAAAGACGCCTGTAGTGCAGAAGTTGCAACATTAAGAAAATAAAGTAGACCTTAACATTAACATTATTAAAAAGATAATAAGAAGTTATTTTTAAGCTAAAAACCTACTAAAACAAGAAGCACTAAATGTCCTACATGTAGACACATCTATGCACTAAAGGACTGCTTCTATGTCTATTTAGACAGAGCACTAAACTAGTAGATGCTAAATAAGAGAGTTAAAGAGCTTGTAGCATTAAAGTGTAAGTATAACTTAGAATTTTAAAGCCTACTAAAAGGGCAGCGTAGATATAATTTAAGAATACTAATTCTAAAGAGTTTACATACACCTACGCTAAAGATATAAAAAGACTAACTTAAAAGCTAGAAAGTATTAAGAGTTAAGGCAGCTGCATTACTAGCTATAGTTAATTTAAACTAGAACAGATATCTACTAAGAGAATTATTTATCTTTAACTTAGGCTTAACATGCTATATTATAAATAATTTTAATTAGATTTATAACTATTATCTACTAACACTAAAAGACTTTATTTAGTTTAGAAACTCTTATGTATAGATTTAAGGCTACAAATTAATTACACTAAGCCTAAAAAGTAAGCATAGAACACATAGTTAAGCATATAGTCTTGTACTACATAACGCTGCACTGTGCCTAGACCTGCTGTGCAACCTAGTCTTGTTCTGCCTACTGTAACAGAAAGGAATCTAGTAGGACACATAAGCAGAGCTAACTGCTCTAAAGGCCTTAGACAGAATAATAATTAAAGATCTTATAAAGATCTATAGCTAATAGGTGTTAAAGTACTATCTACTATAAAAGGGCTTATATTATACACACATAATTAACACAAGAACTAAATGTAGTCTATAAAAGGCATTAGTAGAGCTATAGCATAAGTGTCTAGGACACCCTAGACTAGCTACACTTTAACACCTTGTACAGTAAGCTAAGGGGGTGTAAATTAAAGGAATTACAACAGTCTAATGTAACTTGTGTAGCAGAGCTAAGATACAATAATAAATTAGCTGCACACTATAAATTAGTAATAGTAGACCTAGTAAGAGACTGTTAATTAATTTCTATGCATATAAAGCATAGAGCATTATAAAAAAGCAGAGTTAAATGCTAATTACTAATAAGTATTTTAGCCTCTAGTAAGACCTTTACTTTAAAAATAATAAGCCTACTAAATTAATTATTAAAGCTTTTATAATCTTTATTCTTTTTTTAAAGAACTATTATAATATTACTATAAAAGTTATTAAAGCTAATAATAAGATTATAATAGTAAAACTAGAGGTAGAACACTAGCTAGCATTATATAGAATAACTGTTAAGCCTTTAGCACTAGATACACAAGCCTAGAACAGAGGAGCTAAACGCTTAGAGGGTGTAAATAAGAAGAAGTTATAGGCTATGCAACTAAATGCTAACCTACTATAGGATGTATAGCCATACATTACTAGAGCCAGCGTATACCTATACAATTAGACGCTAAACTATGCTAATAACTAGAAGACACTATACAAGATCTTCTTTACACAAGTAGCTTTAAATAATAAAGTTATTATGTTAATTTAAAAGCTAAGCTTTACACATCTAAAAGCCTATAGCTATAAAGCATTTATAATAACTAATAACACACATTAGAACAAATCTAAGCTACAGAGGCTAGACCTAAAGGCGTAGATTAGATATCTAGTTAGGTACTAATTATTAAACATCTACTGCGTATAGATACTACTGCTAGCAAAAGTAATCTATACATGCAATGTTATTTTTAATAAACACTTAATTTTTAGTAGTAAGCCTAAAGACTTAATAGATAACCTTATACATAACATAGTAAAGAAAATTGCTATATATATTAGAATAATTAAGCTTCTAACACCTAGTTATTAGCTAGAGATAGAGTTATTCTATAAAGACAACACTATAGATAATATATTAAATTTTAATAAAGTAGACCTACTAAGATACTATTAAAGAAGGAAGATTAGAGATAACTATTTATCTCCTCTAAATACTCTGCTACCTGCAGCATTGCTTATGCAGTTAATAGCTAGAGTAGCACTAAAGCTAAGCTAAATAAGGTTGTTAAAGACTATACTATAGGCTGCAGCCTTTATAGCTAGTATAAGATTTAAAAGTGTAGGAAAGCATAGTAGTAAAACGCTAGATAAAGTAGCATTAATAAAAATGCTATATAAAAGAAAGACACTTTATAGAAGCTAGCTGCTACCTCTGCTATTAACCTAAAAGCAACTAGAGAAGCACCTTCTATATAAGATGTTTAAGGCAGCAGAAAGAACGCACTTAGATAGTTATTAGACAATAAAATCTTAGACAGAGGTCTAGATAAAGCTAATTAAGGCAGCTAGATAGCAGATCCTAGATTATATGTAGGTGTACACCTACAAGCTTAACAAGCACTATAGATTGTAAAGATGTAAGGCGCAACTAGTAGTTTACAGTAATTAATAAAGAAACATTACTACATAAGACACCTACACTGCTACCCTAGCAGGACGCTTATTTTAAATGCTAATAGTAATATCTGCACGCTTTAACCTAGAGCTTAAATAATACAACATAACTAACGCGTTTATACATGCAGCAATTAACCGCAATATCTACATGCAGATGCTAAGAGGCTATTAGAAACTAGGTATAATACTAAAGCTTTAAAAAGCACTATACAGCCTATAAATTTTTTCTCTACTCTAGTAACACTATTTTATAACAACTCTTAAAGGCCTTAGGTTCTTAGCTGTTCTACATAAACTCTACTACATAACTAAAGCTAGAATATTTGTCTTCTTCTATGTAGACAACCTTATTATTGTGTACAGAAAAGGCTCTAAAGCAGATGCACAGCGTGTAGTAGACTAGTTACAAGAGAAGTATACCCTAATAGAAGGCAAGGACCTATAATAGTTCCTAGAAGTTAAGATTATTAGAAATTAACAGTAATAAATAATTTAGCTGTTATAAGCCTTATATATTAATAAGATAGCTAGGCTAGCTAACAGAAAGAACCTGCAGCATACTACACTTATAAGTAGGATTAAACTTATGCTGTAATCTAGTTTTGCAACCCTATTAGAAGTAAATTAATATTAGCAGAAGATTAGATCTCTACTCTTTACAGCAGTCACTACAAGACTAAACATTGCCTTTGCTACATCACGCCTTACACAGTTTCTCACAAATCCCGCATCTAACTATTAGGATGCAGCTAATTAAGTCATCCTGTACCTACATGCGACACAGACGTACGCACTCTAATTAGGAGGAGAAGACTACCTTGTAGTAGTAAGCAATGCGTTATTTATAGATAATACACTAAATAGAAAGAGCTTTTAGGGCTATATTATTTAACTATTTAGTAGATAGATTGCATAGTAAGCAAATAAACAAGATATAGTTACAACATTAATAATAAAAGCAGAATTACTTGCACTGTTCTAAGTTGCTAAGGAAGCTATGTTTATAAAAATGCTTTTTAACAAACTATAGGTTAAGCTGCCTAATTTAACTATTATAATTTAGTGCAATAATAAGCAGATAATTTAACTAGTAAATAAAAAAATATCTTAACTTTAAACTAAGCTCTAACATGTTAACATCTATAACTACTAGCTCTAACAGGAAGTCTCTTAACAAACAATTAAGGTTGTCTATGTCCCCTTTAGTAAGATGCTTGCAGACAGACTTACTAAAGCGCTTTTAGTTAGCAAATAGCTAAGCTTTCTTTAGCAAATTTAGCTAGTTAACGTTAGGGAGAGGATAGTTAGTTAGGAAGCAGATATAGAAGAGATTAAAGCAAGAATAGAAGCCCTAGAAGCATACTAAGGTTGCGCAATTAGGAACCAGCTTAAAGCATGTCTAAGCTAAGAGGGTGTGTTAGATTTGCGCACCTACTGTCTGTAACGATCCTCATGAATCGTTCCATCTCGGATGGCCCGGAAGGCCCCCGTATCGGCCCCGACCTCGACCTGGCCCCGACCCCTGCTGTTACCCCTATTCCCTCATGTATTTAGTCGCACCTCGCCCCTGTAGCTAGCTCGGTAGTTTTCTGATATCCTACGTACAAGGCCTATAGGTGTCATTGGTATTCCCAGGTCTCTGAGTCCCCACGCACTCCCATATGCCTCTGAGTGGATTCATACCGCATTCGGACCCATTGTCTTGCCTGCGC